ACCTCTGGGCTGATCAAAGTCAGGGCACGGCTAACTTACAGATTGGTATTTTAGCATGTTAAGTTTGGTGGAGGGAAGAAATCCAGAGAATCCGGAGAAARACCCCCGAATCAAGGGAGCAATCTAACAAACTCTACTTACATGTGATAATGTGATAATTGAGATAACTAGTTTATGTCTAACATGGACGTGGTTTTTGTGGGGGTGGGGGTAGGGGTGGAAAATGAGTATATAATAAGGAAACTTTTACCTTCTTCGTGGTCTGAAGACTGTACTACCGGTCTAGTGAAAGTCATGAAGATAGCTACAATATCACTCAGTATCTGAAAGTAACACAACATCACGAGGAACGTTATGGGGTAGTTTAATAATTAGATGAAAATTTGTTCACTCTGAACACAGGGAGCCCACTTTCAAAAAATGTGCTGCTCCATAATGCAACTGGGCATAAAACCACACAAAAAGAGAGCACGATACACATTATGGTGTTCTTTTTCCCCTACTAGTTATTCCAAGGTTTAGAAAAAAACTAGGTGGATTTCGCATTACATTGCATTGTGCGACTTTTTCAGGGGAGATATTTCCAAGATGGCGTCTATTTCGTCCCCTAAAAAAAGTCCCACAATACACTGCAATGTTAATTTGACCCAGTTTTTCTCTCGACCTCGGAATGGCTAATTCAATTTTCCTTACAAAGTGAGGGATAAAGAACTTTGGAATCGTATTATTTAAAGTGGGCTCCCTGTGTTTGTGGTTCGTTTCTCACCTGTTGTGCAAGGTTATGCAGCTGACCAGTCATGGGTGCAGAACACATCACAGTATGCAACAACATCAATGACGTCATCAGTCTCGTGTCTTTAAACTGATACGAACCAGTATTAAGCAGCTCAGTCAACATTATCTTCAACAACGCTAGCAAGGGTGTTGCCATGGAGATGGTCACTAAGGGATGGCCAGTGCCAAGGGGTTGTCCTTTCCTCCAGGGATGAAGCACAAACTCGCCTACTTTTTGTAGAGTGTTGATGAAGACGTCCATCGCGTTGGCAGAGAAGAGTTTCATACAGGACAGGTTGACTGTCAGATCCTTCTGGTAGCCTAGTTATGGATGGAGACRAAGGTACTTATCGTAAATGCCAAACGCTTTGTCTGCTTATTTTGTTTGTTTTCTATAAACTTAAACTTTTAAACTTTTTACAACCATCACTTCCCGTCACTTTCCCTAAGGGTCTCTTTCGTGAAGTTCTCTCCAACCGCACTACCCGCAATACATTCTATATTGACAACACATAACTCTCAAGCACAAATGTTGATTTTTACGGGTAGAGAAAAAGCCGGAGAACCCGAAATAAAACCCTCGCGGTGAGGGATAAAATATCACATCAAACAAACCCAACGCACATATGCGGTTCAGTGAAGAATCGAACCTGTGACCCCAGGACATTACAGTGGTGAGAGACAGCCCCGTAACAGAGTATGCCACCACATGGTTTCTGTTGCTTGAAGCAGCTAAAGGTATCGCTAGTTCGTATTCCATTTACCTTGTGATTTCTGTTGATCATCTTTCACAGGACACACCAAGTGTTTGAGAATCCTCAATGCCATCAGAACACCACAAGCCACATTGGGTGAAGCATTTAACTGACTTAGTTTGCTGAACAACAAAGATATGGAAACATTTAATAATAACGAAGGTACTAGTGGAGTTAGATGTTGTCGTCATTGCCATAGTATTAGAAGTAACAGAAGCAGTAGTAGAGTAGTGGTACAAGTGGTATGATGGTGGTGGCGGCAGCTTGGTGGTGGCGGTGGCGGTGGTATGATGGTGGTGGTGGTGGTATGATGGTGGTGGTGGTGGTATGATGGTGGTGGTGGTGGTATGATGGTGGTGGTGGTGGTATGATGGTGNGGTGGTGGTATGATGGTGGTGGTGGTGGTATGATGGTGGTGATGGTATGATGGTGGTGGTGGTGGTATGATGGTGGTGGTGGTGGTGGTGGTGGCGGCAGTGGCCGTGGTGGTGATGGTGGTGGCGGTGGTGGCGGCAGCAGCCGTGGTGGTGATGGTGGTGGCGGTGGTGGTAGTATTTTACTAGGCTCTTCTTACCTCTCAACATATTGAACAAGCTTAACAATACTAGACACGTCAAATGTTATTTCTTTGATAGGGTCCAGCCAGTGTGTCAGCTCTGCCAAAGGAGATTCCACATCCACTGTAAGAAAAGTTAGGTATATCAAAATACATGTCACTGAAACACYGTAAAGTAACAATCTCATCTCCCAAGGGGGAGGGGTGGGGTGGGTTAAAGAGGATAATGGAAAGATGAATAACCTACGATTTTCTGTGACGGCAAGGAGACGAGGGCCAAGCTTGCATAACATTTCCACATTCTCTGAAGCTAAAACAAAATAAAAAACACAAGTCATTTAGTTAATGCTGATTCCAGAGTTTTTCTCTGCCAGTTTCTCTGGTTTTTCTCCCTCCATACAAATCAGCAACTTTTCAAGTTCCGATAGGCCCTTTGCAGTTAACGGTCACGTGCCTGTACTGGAGGGCAAAATTTATGTTTTTAAATTAAATTGGTGATTCTATTTAGGCACTTGTAAAGAACTGGATGAAAAGAAGTGTATCCAGTGTGTTACGAATTGCAGTTTTATTACGATCTCTCGAAACAGGTTGTAGAAAGTTTGTTTGCTCTCCAGTAAATTTCACCCATGGGAATCAAGATGTTCATTCATTTTCTCTCAGTGAATTAATCAGCACGTGATTGCTTAGCTGCAAAGGGCCTATTTGTTCATAGAATGAGCGCCACAGGTTTGTTAGTCACTGGCTATTAAGAGCTACTTTCGTAAAACATGGGAGACTTTTTTCCATTTCTTTTGCCCAGTGGTTTAAGATAATCAATTCCGTCCTGTGACCATACCGTTTCGAAGGTCAAAGCGATCGTTTCCTCTCATAATCTGCTTGAGTACTTACATCTTTATGCAAATCACATGTTTCTTGATACTTACATTTGATGGTGAGTAGAACCAGGACTGAAGCATATCGGCTGGATACACTTTTCTTAAGCTTCATGTCGCTTGCAGGATCACCTATTAGAAAACAGATTACAAGATGAAATTATAGCGAATCACTATTATTAATATTCTTTTAAAATTCCCGTGAAGCAATATTAGGTCATTATTTACGAGTTTCCTTTTTCTGAAGCATAATTTCATTTTTTTTTTTTTTCACTGTTAACATCGTGCGCACTCTACAAGTCCCAGTATGGAAGTCAACACTTGCTAAAAAATACTTCCTATGGTAAAAATGAGACTTTACAGTTTTCACGCGTTTAAGAAAAGAAAAGAAATTAAATTGTTTATAAGACACGATGTAAAACACGATGTAATGTTGACTGCAGCTGTGGTAGTATTCTTTTGCAGTCAAGTCTCTACAATTTCGAACATGTTCTAAATGTAGTGCAACTTAACGGATATTTTATTGTGCTGAAAATCGCCGAATGTTAACGCRCTGTTACTGGCTGGCAAAAAAATGCTGCTAAAGTTGCGCGACAAAATTTCTAGTGTAAACCGGCCTTTATATTGAAGCTTTCCCTCTTCTTACCTGTGGGCTCAACGAACGGCAATAACGAAGCAAAGTTATCCTCCATGCTCAATACCGAAACCACAGCTGCTTTACCTGTAAGAATACAACAAGTAACTTGCTTTAGATTAGAGGTACTAAGATATTCAATAGAGGCTTTGCACCATCACGTGATGGCAGCCATGACAGGAGGCACAACGATAGAGTCTTTTTCTTGTGGGAAACTGAATTCTTTCTCATGTAAATCAAATTAGACCTGATTCAATTGTTCCTGCCTCCTGTCATGGCTACCATCACATGATGGTGCAAAGCCTCTATACCATGCACTCTGATACCCTAGCTGTTTACTTAACACCAATTTGATCTGCGAGTTAGTTTGAACCTCTGAGAGGATGACAATTCCCTATTGGTTGAGCAGCTTCCGGTCAAAAACGATAGCTTTGCTTCCCCACTAAAGTTTCTATTCACAGCGCACGAAACCCCGACGGCTGGAAAACGGAGCCTTGTTATGCTAGCACTCGTATACTAACCTATCATAGTAAATGTCATGGAGTAGAGAGTATGTAGTGTTGAGAGGGTGTCGGCTCCATCAAGTTCCGTACTAGAAATTCCTTTAATAAAAAAAACGTATAWGTCTTGTGAAAAAGTCAGGAGAACAAGGCATATACAAGACTACAATACATCATGAATATTGAAAACTTTATTCTCTAACGAAATCTCATAAGTCAGTATAATATAATATTCATAGTTATGATAATGCTGCAACATGATGATGATGATGATGGTGRTGATGGTGTTGCTAATGCAGATGATGTTGATAATGAGGATACAGATGATGAGGATAATGATGATTTGTGATATACGCCTAATTGAAAAAACGTTGTCGGGTTCAAAAAAAGGTTATATCATCAAAGCTAAGACCRAAGGGGAGCATGGGAAGACAAAATACCGCAGCCAAACAGCTCTCCAGCGTAAATCTTCGGAGAATAGCTTTGGCATGTTGTTAATCCAGGTTGACCGACTCTGCTCTACTGTGYATTTTTACATGTCTATATGCAAATATATGCACATTTCGGAGTACCCAAAATCCTTTTCGATCATAGCTTCGATGATATGACGTTCTCGAACCCGACAACGTTTTTTCAATTAGGTGTATAAAGTAATGATGAAGTGTGGAGAGACGGGACCGCCATTGAAGGTAGTCTTCCAGGCCACTTGAAAGTCTTGAAAGTCATGATGTTTGTGGTGGTGGTCGTGATGATAATGATGAAAGACAATGCTGACAATGCTGATCAAGCTAATGACGATAATTATGGCGATAACAACAACACTAATAATGCATTACATAAATTACACACACATAAAAAGTCACAAAAAATATTTACCAGTAGCTAATGAGGTCTTGAGCTGATCGACAGCCTGCAGTGCCTGTAGATGGTATATCAACAGCAGACCAAGGTGCTGTGGGGTACAAAGATCAGCTGTTGTACCATTCCTGAGGAATTCATGAAGAGGTGGTGCTTCACTGTGATGGACATCTGTCTCCTGAAATGTTGAGGAAAAGAGAATGAATGGAAAATGGAAACTGGGAATCGGAAAAATGGGATTTAAAATATTCAGTAAAGGGATATGAGATTTCTCCAAATAGACCCTTTAGTCAAGTGAAAGCCAGCAATCTATGAATAATAAAAAKAAAAAAAAGAAARAAAAAAAAGAGAATATGCAAATGCTTGTGAGGTAAGAAACTTACTGTAGTCTGTGTGAGGACTCTAATCAGACCGCTGACAGTATCAGGGTGGGAAGACAGGAACAGCAAACCTGAAAAATGTTCAAAGTAARATAAGATAACACCTTTATACTGAATATTTGGAAGTGAAGTCTCTCAACCTTCATGGGACTTTGTTCTTGCATTACCAGATCCTTGGGGGTGGGGAGGGTGTAGGGAGCCCTGGGGCAATATGATGCATCAAGTGAGTTCACGGTCAAATCACCATATCCTCTTATGATTGCCAAATTCCATGCATCCCTATTGATTCATTTTAAAGCATTCGTTTCTCAAGTGGCAGCTATGTTAATTGGAACAATAGATTTTTCAACATGCAGCCCCACATTCAAGAGCTTCAGGATGAGGTCATGCGCAGTTAAATAAAGCTTCTTTTTCTGGTCCGRTATTATAAAACATCGTACGTTCTGATTCTCAGTATCTGCCTGCAGTGGTGGTCTGGTATCCTGGGACCGCTAAACAACAGCAACTCCTGTATAAGTAAACTATTTACTCACCTCTCTGCGTCTGCAGAAGGAGGAAAATCAGATCTCTAACACCACAATACACCATTGGATGACAGGCAAGAGGAGATGACATTAGAACAACAATGGACTCTAATAATCTCCTGGCAACAAACAAGAGTATGCATTGTAAAGACAACCTTAGGTGCTAAARCTAGAATGCTAGAAATGCTGGCAATAGGATATTTTGCAACAACTACAATTTAAAAAAAAACAAACTTATTACACTCAAGGTAAAGAAGTCCATAGGATTGCAATCCATGACTTAGACTTGCTCTGAATCTCGCTCATTAATATATTTTCTGTTGGCAAAGTGGATTCAAAATGCACATGTCTGTTTACCTGAACTTTCCAAGGGGAATGGTGAGCAGGAAAGAAGAAAATCAATTTGGTACCTCATTTGCTTTATTCCTTTCCTTCATGCCATTCCCCTCCGAAAGCTCTTGTAACCAGACCTGCAAGGTCTGAATCCAATTTGCCAACAACAAAAATATATATACATAAATCAAATAATAATTAAGCAAGACCTGGAGCAAATTTATCAACCACCACCTGGCTAGCTCAGTTGGTAAGAGCATCGATCTGTTGGGCGGGAGGTTGTGGTTCAAGCCTCGGCTGGACCAACAGGGTCTTAAAATAACTGAGGAGAAGGTGCTACCTTTGTAATTACATCTGCAAATGGTTAGACCTTCACGTGGCTCGGATGATCACGTTAATGGTGGTCCCGTCCCTAATTAAGTAGAGACGTTAACAGAGGACCACAAGTTTATCAGTTGAATTACTGTCAAGTGTTATCCTCTATAAACAAAGTTAATTAATTAATTTATTCTTAATGACTAGTAATTAATATCCACAAGTGTCCAAGGAAGGGCATATGTGGACAACTTTTGACACCTTTCAACTCACCTGACAGCAAAAAGCCTGAACAAGACAGGATAAGGATCCTTGATGGCAGCATCAATAGCAGTGATCTTTGCTGTGGTAGGAAAGGCTTTGATAGGGGGTTGAACCTGTCAAACAAACAGACAATTCACAAATTTACCTTAAATAATACCTTGCCTTAAGAAATAAAACAGCTTTATTAATGCACTGCGTTCAGTAATACATCATACTGGATGTGACGAAAGCATGAAAAAAGTGCAGAGGTATTAACAAATTGTTTTAGTATAAAGAAAGAATCAAAATCAACCATAGTTTTGAATGCTGTTTTTTTACACTTCTTTGCAAAGCAGGCTGTGCACTGATGGTGTCAGCACCATGCTTCATTYGCAGGTCAGTAAACATTTTCAACCAATTCTCAACCAGAGTATTTATATCAAATTGAGCTGATCCCTGCAGTATATGAAGCAACATATGCATTTTATGATTTTATATGTGGGCGAGTTGGTGTGGTTGAGTTGGTCCGTGGGCAAATTAACTGATTACCACTTATGCAGCTGCAAAATGAAAGCCTCTGAAAGAGTTCCAAGTCTTGAATGGAATTTAACTGAGTATTTATAGTGCTCAGGTGATAAATATATATTTAATGCAGACATGTCAAAAGACATTGTATGCAAACATCTGCATGCCCTTGAAGTCAACAGACCAGACCTCGGTAAACTTTCAGGTCTTCAGAATTGCACTGCACATGTCTTTGGGCTTTACACTGGCCCTATGCATGAGCTATATAAATGTAATGCAATAAATAGAATATAAATATACACCAGTGAGGAAAAAAACCCTAACTTACAATAAGTTCAGGTGCTTTGTGTAGGATGGTATAAATCTCATCCAGAGTCACTGTGATGATCTCTGTATCATCAAGAGAAGCAGGACCATCCTTCAGAGTCTTGTTCACTGCTGACACATCCATGTTGAAATCATTGATTGATGATGCCTTTTGGTCTTTGCTTTCTGTTCCAAGCTCAGTGTCAGCTTCAGTGGTTTCAAATTCGGATACTGCTGCAGCTGTTTCTGCCGTTGCCTTCATTACCCTATGGATATGGTAGAAAATGGGGTCAGTCAGGGTAATTATGAGCTATGTAAAAGCAATGCCAGCCAGCCAGCCAGCCAGCCAGCCAGCCAGCCAGTTATGACGAAGCAATCAAACATGCATCTTTGTTTGCATGATCCCATATTATGCCCGTTATGTTTTGGTCAATATTACTATCTTTCCATTTCAAATCGTCAAAAATCTAATCACCAATATAGATAGTTTAGTAAGTCATAACAATTCAAGTAGAAATTCAAACTGCTTTACATTCCTTAGAATATCCACACCAACCTTCCATACTAACCTGCTGGGAAAGACTGTACCTTTGTAGGACACTCAACAATCATCCCCCCCCATTACCCCCTTAAAAATTTCTATTACCTGTACCTGTTCAAAGCCCCTTCATTGAAATGGTTTGAATTATAAGGACTTTATTAATAACAATAACTACAGTACCTTTCAACAGCGTTTTGAAATGAAGCCAACAATTCATACAAATGGACCTTTCTTGTCAGGGCTGAGGCAGCATTAACCACACGCACAGTCTAGAAAAGCATCAAAAAAATTAAAATCAGTAAAACAAAACATGCATCCTAAATAGACTTCTTTGTAGGAAGCACTGGTGGCATAGCAGTGAGAGGCACATGAGAGTGACTTGGTGTTGTATGTGAGTAGAAATATTTGTTGGTTCTCTCCTGTGCTTCGATGGTTTTTCTCTGGATTCTCCTGTCCTCCTCCCTTCTCAGAAATCAACTTCTAAATTCCAATTTGATTTTAGGRCTTTCACCTAGTTGAAGCCTAGCTCTCTYGTGATTGTCCTGTGCTGTGATACCAAAGCTAAAGCTTAATAGATTTTTAGATTTTAACCAACTGAGCTATACYTACTCTAACCAAATGAGGTCAAATTACCTGGTTTGTTAGAAGAAACTCCACAAGTTTTTGGTATCCACTTTGAATGTTTTCTTCTTTGACATCAATCATGTTGTCTTCTTCGTCTTGAGATGCTGTATCCCACCCAAGGAAATGTTCCAAACAAATATGACTATCGGTGCAACTGTCCAAAGCTGGGGATAGATAAACATTGTCAAAAAAACGTTCTCGGAAATCCTCAACTATCAAGGCTAATGACCGTGACTTGTCTGGAATGCAACACAAAACTACCRCTTTCCTTCAGGAAATCTTTTAAAGTTTGCTTACATAGAGAATTTGGAACAAAACAATGTAAATGATAAACAAGTAAATTCTCCCACAAGCATATTATTCATAGATGAGAATGAGTGGACCGTGTACGCGAATTTAGTTCCAAGGGTCTTTCGCCCGGAATAACCTCGTTCCCAAGCACTATAACTTATCTATATTTCTATATCTTCATGTATTTCATAAGTGCTATGTGGTCCACACATTCTCATCTTTGCATCATAATTACCACGACCTAACATCTATTTCACCCCRGCCTGCTCTCAGTCTGACCACTAGCTCAGCTGGTAGAGCATCGGTAGTATTATTCCGAAGGTCGTGGGTTCGATTCYCAGTGAGGTCGGAAATTAATTTTTCCGAATTTAATTCCAAGGGTCTTTCGCCCGGAATAAGCTCATTCCCAAGCACTATAACTTATCTATATTTCTATATCTTCATATTATTCATATAGTATTCATCATTAAAGAGATCTTATCACTTGATCAGAGTTTTTACTTAGTACCTTGTAAAGCATACAGCTTCATGGAAGATGACATGTGATCTGTTGTTAATACAATGTGGAGCTTCTCTTGAACACCTGCATTCTATAGACACAAAAAGCAAACAATGTATTGCCTTTAGTTTCTGCAGTGAAGTTTGAGGAGAAGGCCTTTTCTTTGTACCACTCTGGTTTCGTATTGTCTTTTTAATACATATATGCTTGTTACTGTATCTATCCTTTTCTTAAAGGGGACTAGCATGAAAATCTTTGGAAATTTAACTCAGCTGAAACTTCGATGGAATAATCTTTAAGGGTCTAATAATCACTAGTTAAAGTTTTTTCTTTATATTCCAATGGAAAGTATTATATTTTTATGAAKTTTTATAGGTATCTGTGACGTCATACACTCAACACTAAACATCGCTCCACCGCTCTAGTTGACATAATTCACAAAGACCTCAAGGTCAGTTAATTAAGAATTGAGGATTCAACAATGTATTTTGTTTAGCATTCCCATGATTCTACCAAAAGAACCCAAGAGAATTCTCATACTTTAAATTGATAGTAAACACTAGTTGAAATCATGGCAGAATTCCATTTCAATCCACAAGAGAAATCTAAAGTGTACTCATTTCTTGCTCAAAAAATGCTTACCAAAAATAGTTGATCCATGATTCCTTTTGGGGAATAGGGTCAACTCAGCTGGGTTTTATTGGTCATGAAGTATTTTTATTGACTAATTAATTTTCTGAAAGGGGTGTATCCAGTGGGATTCTAGTGTGTTTATGAACTCTCTTCCCATTTTCATTCATTATTCAGGTAATTTTAGGATAATTATTATTTATAAAGACATGATTGAGTTCTTACAATGAGCAGAGCAGCAATTTCAGGTCCACAGTTACAGAGAGCATAGACCATTCTTAAGCCTGCCTTCAACAGCCTCACATTAACCTGAAACAAATGACAACATTATTCAATAAGCTTGTTACACTTACATCTGCAGTTAAAATGTCTCAGCTGTTTTAAAATCTTACAACAATGCATATCGTATTGCTTAAACCACTTAATAATATAGCAAAATTCATATTGGCAGGGATTTCAATTCCTAATGAAAAGTGAAACTGACAATGGTAATGATAATGGGTCATGGTAATGATGGCAATGATGATAGTAACGGTGGGTGACGGCAGCAATTGCAACTGTTAAGTAAAACAGCCTACCGCCTCATCTCTCRTGTACTATTTTTCRTGGGATTCTACCAGCTCACTAGATACACTGTGCTGACAAGGCCCAATGCAGGCCGAAACAGCTGTCCATTGTTTCTAGTTGAGCTGGCTCATTTTTTACTCAACTTGAAGTTGTGAAAGGCCCATTGGCCCTCTTCTTCAGTCATTTCATACAAGGCTCGTAATTTACCTATTGCACATGTCCTTATATGATTTCTGAGCCCATCCCACACGGCTTACTGCCTCATCTATCATGTACTTACAGCAATGGGAAGCTTCATAGCTTCTTCTACATTCAGAGCAAAGGTTGTCCACTCCACAAACTTTGTGAGGATAACTAGGTTATTGAATAAAAACAGAAAGTTGGTATTTTATGAATATCATGCCAAACTCAAAATGCCTTAACATATATATTTTTAATATATGAACAATTTAATATATTTTAAATAACTAATAATTTAATATTTTATTATCATCAATAATATCAATAATATTTGATAATATTAACGATTTATGATTAATGATTTATTATCAATTATTTATCTATTTAATAATCTTAAGAATATATATATTCTGAGTTGGTAAAAAGTTTGATCGAATGTTAGTATAGTTACCATCACTATCCTCCTTGGTCCTCATGATATAAGCCTGTAGATATGAATGGAGAGACAGAGATTAACACATTAYGCTAACATGTACATAACCTTGCAATACCTGCATAAATACTAGCAATCAAAGAAAGAAAATTATATATCACACTTACCAGTCCTGGTACAATTAAAGGCGGTATTTCTTCAAACACTTCTACCCATCTGCAGGAAAAAAAAGTCGGAGTGTATTGTGTAGTTCCAGAAATTATCCATAACCCCACCACGGAGGAAATTTGTAAAAGAATCCCCCTACCCCCAGGAACTTCCAATTTTCTTCAATATAAACCCTGTAATTCTGTTCATTCTCTGACCCCCCTCCCCTCCAGAATTTCCAATTTCCTTCGTGGATGGGGTATGGATATTTTCTGGAACTACACATTTTGAAATATTATTAACATTTGAGTCAAAGTGTTATTCAGAGCCAAGGAGGAACAGCTTGACATATTGTGTTGGGGAAGAACAAAAAGTGAATCATTGTGAGGTGGATGGCGAGGCTGTTCGAATTCTAATGTTGATACTACAATGTTTATCAAGATCCATACAGTAGTTACCTTAGTTATAATAATGGGCCAATACACTGTAGTTTTTACAGTACAACTTACCTTGTGTTTCTTTCCAAGACTTTGCACAGCTCAACCTGCTCAACCAGTTTTTCACCCTAAAACAACAAACATTTATTTTACCTCATGGGTACTTGTAGCTAATGCTGGGCTTTGCAAATAATTGCAATTAATAATTAATAATTATTATTAATTTGTAAAAAAAATAAATTAATGAATAAAAAATAGAGCTACTTACCGTATCCTTTGCTGTTTCTGTGGTAGCTAAAAGAAATTAAATAACACTTTTTAAAGTGAGAATGGCTTGAGTTTTCTAGACTCATACATTTTTTCTTCTAGTAATTCTTTTACCTGCATCTTTGAATTTATGCAGAGCTGCATCATGGTCTGTTTGTTCTGGTGCAGGAAATGACTACAGAAGAAAGAAAACATTCCGCTTTAGAATGYACTAGAATTTCTTAATCAGACGTACAAGATAGGGAATACTTACTGTCAGAGGTGAGAGATCA